TTCAAAACGAGTTTCCTTCACAGCTTCAGTTATTCTCTTCAACTTACTCATTGAATCTTTTTTCCAACCTAACAATGGAGAGATAAAATCTGTACTAATTTCTGCTTTAGCGATAGTATTTGTAATTTTAGTTTCTTCCTCTTTAATTTTTTTCAAAATTTCATTCAGTTCAGAAATGGGTTTGAATATAAATTTGTTAAAATCTTTGGCTTCTTCAAAATATTTCAAAAGATTCTTGGGTATTGAAGGTATTGAGGTTTGGGAAGACAATTCCTCATTTAAATAATTTTGACAGTTTGAAAGGATTTCCCTGAAATTTTGTTAAAATTGGAGAAAAATATTTCTTATAATATCCGCAAATATTTGCGGACAGATCTAAAACAATTAAAAATATTTTAAAAAATAATTATTTATTCAAAACATGTTAAAAATAATTTTACTTTATTTCCAAGAAATGTTCATTCTCATAGTCTACCAACAACAAATGTTTCCATTCTTCTTTGTTTTTATCAAATTCAAATGTCATTGATCTGAACATTGTTGCAGGGCCTTCTAAACCAACTAAACAACCAATTTTCGCTTCATTCAAAACATTATCAACAGATGTTTTGATGTTTTCTATTGAAACTTTGTTTTCTAACTTGTTTTTATGAGCGACTTCATTGTTGTTTTCCGAACTTTTTCCCAACTTGTTTTCCAACTTGTTTTTCTTTTCAATGTTCAACTTTCCTTCTTCAAGTTTATCCAACTCTAAAAAAACTTTCTTTCTCAACTTTTCCATATCATTTAAGAAAATGTTTGGGGCCTGTTTACATGTTTGTTCACTCACAAACAAAACTTCGCCAATTAATTTTTTTATTTGTTCGGAAGCAACATTTTCAATTCCAACACTTTCAACTTTTTTCAAAACATATCTGTCATGTTCATTTGTTGTTAAAATGTTTTTAATTAATAAAAACAAAACAAATGTTTTAAAGAAATGTTTTTCCAAACAAAACATTTTCTCCCTTAAATTTAAAAACATTAGGTAAATGTTTTTATTAAACAAACAAAACATGTTTTATTTGTTCAAGAAACCGGGGAAAATAGTACATAAAAAGAGGAGACGATGGAGAGAATTCTTTTAAACTTTTAAATTAAAAAAACATTTCTTTGAAAATTTTAATTATTTTTAGCATTGAATCAGGGAAGGGATTCTCCCCAACTTTCATTGAATATTTTATTAAATTCAAAGAAAAATTTAAAATAAATAAAAATTAGTTTTCATTGAATAATTGAAGGATTTATTCAAAATTAAGGACTTTTATTTGCCTCTTTTAATTTCCCCCTCTTCCCTCTCCTCTTCCCCCCTTTCAAAATGGCACTTTAACAATAAAAAATTTTTTTTTTAATTTCTTCACTAGACACACATGATTTCAATCAGACATTCATGTCAAATGATAAATCACGTGATTTAAGTCAAATGATTTTTAAATCAATTTTTAATTTTTATTTAAATATAAAAAAGTTTTTTTTAAATAAATAAAAATTTTTTTAAATTTTTAAATTAATTTTTTAAAAAATTTCTAAGAAAATAAAAAAGATAAAGTTTGCCAAAGGAGATATCTAATCTCAAATTACTTCAATGGTTATCCAGTTACTTTTTAGTAAATGACAAAAAAGTTTGTTGATTTTTTTGAATTAATTTGATTCTGAATTTTATTTCCTTCCAATCTCTTATTAACAATCAATTCATCTCTTTGTTTGGCCAACAAAAATAGAAGAATATTTTTAAATTATTTTAAATTAATTTTATTAAAAAATATTTCAAAATTTATTTTTAATTACAAAACACTTCACGTGAATATAAAAGTCTTAATGTTTTTTGCCCTACTAATTTTCATGTGAATAATATTTGGGTATTTCTTAAATAAAAATTCATATGATTCTTTAAAAAATATTTTTGAGAAAAATAAATAAAAAGTGCAAGAAAACAAAAAATTAATTTTGAACCCTAAATTATTAATTAAATTATTTTTTAATATAAAAAATAAGCGATTGTCTTCATTATTTTTTGAATTAAAATTTCTGCCATTCTCTTAAAATAAATCAAATTCCCTTCTGTTAAATTCCCGACTTTTAATTTAATCCCTTTATCTCAGAACAATAAAGAATCAACGAATTTTAGATAAATTTTATTCTTAATACTAGGGTTTATAACAATTTAGGCGGGAATAATTTTGGGCAGAAAAACGGACTCAAGAACTGAAAAATTAGTAAGAAAATTGGCCTTAAAAGGCAAAATTGATCTCAAGAAAAAGATGAGAGGGGGTGAAGGAGGAGCAAATATTTGTTAAATTATTAAACAGTTTGGCGAATAATGAGGGGAGGAATTGTGGAATTTTTGGCCCATTTTGGCGGAACGGGCCAAATTTAAAGAAAAGAATAGTTTGGCCCGTTCCGGCCAAAATGGGCCAAAAATTGGGCAAATATAGAAAAGGGAAATAATAGGTTGATCACATTCTAAAGTAATTAAATGATTTGTCGGGCCCATTTTTTGGGGGAAGCAATAAGAAGAATTTTGGTGCTTCCGCCCAAAAAATGGGCCCGACAGGTTTTTATTTATCAAAAAATTAGTTTAACAATAATAGAGGGAAAATGCGCGAATGCTCACGCACATAATTAATTTATTTATTTAAAAATATATTTATTAAATATTTTTTCTACATTCCCCCTCATAGCTGCTTTATTATATCTCCTTCGCCCTTTTTCTTATTTTCCCTTTCCCCCTTCTTTCCTTTTCCATCATCAATCGGGTTCCATTAAGCTTTTCACCGCGAGTTTTTCACCTAGAAGCTTTCTTATTGCCGCCTCATATTTTTCGATTTCGTCTTCATTTTTCTTTATCTCGCGCCGTCGGGTCTCAATTCTTTTTGTCATAATATTGATTAGTTCCTCAGTCGTAGCCCCTTGAGCATGGCTCGTCCCAAACATTAGTGTTTCCCTTAGGTCATCGAGCCCAGATTGTGCGAGTCTTCGAGGACGCTGTTGATTGCCAGCACTGTTGCTCATATCTGCAATTTTATTATTCAGAACTGGTGTTGCCCAAGTTTTCCTTATTAGTTCGGTTCCAGTGAAAATCGAAATTTCGAAACAACTCTGGTCGCAATTTAAGGAACTGTCGCTCACACGCTGGGTATATTCAGTTTCATTTTGGAAGCAAGTTATTTCGAATGTGGAAGCTAGATCGATGAACACGATCGAAATCAAAAGCAAAATTAGTGCGGTAGTTGGCAGATGTCTTCGTATTGATAGTCCGCGCCGAAGTCTATTCAAAGGATTCCCGAAAGGACTATCCGAATCTGTCTGAAGTGAGACGAGCGAGCTGGCTCGTGAGAATCTCACTCTCGACTGTCTTTCTTCATTGCCTCGCATCAAACGTCGCTCCGGGGTCTGGACTTCTCTCAATTCACCGAGTTCGACGCCAAACTCGACGCCTTCTTGTTTGAGATTCGAGTCCTTTGTGGGTCTGTTTCGGCTCGGCCGTGTTAGTAGTCCTACGCTTCTTAGCGTCGGCATGATCAAGTATGTGGCCGTTATTGGGATGAGGAAGTCGCGAAGGAATAGAAACGTTGAATAGAGGCAGCTGAGGATTATCCAATGCTGAACGAATGCGTCCCAAATTTCAGTCAGCCATCTTTTCGCTAATCCGGGAAGACCTCCGGGTATGGCACCGAGCACTACCGCTCTGTAGTGTTCGTCGGTTTTCTGGCTGCTTTTCCAGTCTTCCAACTGTTGAAGCTCGTCGATATGGAGGAAGGGTATTTGGTCGGCTTCCTGATGCAACATCCACTCGTGGAAGACTAACGGATGGAAGTCATAATCTCGGAATCGTGTCAAGTTGTTATGGAACTGCTGAATTATACTACTGTTGACCCATTCGACCTTTGCTATACTTGTGTCGATTCGTGACCAATTTCCTTTCGAGTACTCAAGGTACATGATGCGGTTGCGGTTGCAGTCCGCTGGGGGCGAAGTTGCGGTCAAGACGCGAAGCTCCGGGTCAAGGAATGCTTGCATAATTCTGTCATAGAAGTGCACGTCAACCGGCAAGTATTTAAAGCATGCGACAGATGGACGAGGCCTGACTAGTTCCATTTGAATTGGTGTGCACGAGAAGACTTGCATTGTGTTCTCGCCGAGCCATTTTGCCACTAAATTTTCCTTGTTGAAGAGATGACGAGCCTGTATAGTTGGGTTGGAATTTCGCTCGAACTGTTTGCATTTGTCGGCAAATATTTTTTCCATCATTTGATTCAGTGCCATTTCGGCGGCTGTCATCTCGCTCGCAAATTGCTGCTCGTCCACATTCCTTCTTGGTCGCTGAGACTTCATTTTATTGAATTCGGCAGTTTTGATTCCAAAGCCTTGTTCAGCTATAGTCAAGGGGGTGCCGTCGCAGGATTTCTCCGTAGGCGCTGTAAAGTTGAACGTGAGCGCTTGTTCACGTGACTTAGAGACAAAAATGATGCGATTTTGCTCTATTCGGAATAATCCATCAATTACTTCGGCAAATTGGTGCTGACATTTCTGGCAGAGATGTTTTGGGCATCTCGCATCCCATATAATTGACGTGTTGTCTGACAGAACGCAAAATTCGTCCCCGAATTTGCAGTGGTCCAAGTTATGAACCGGCGACATCAGCTGTAGAGTTTGCGGCTTATAAAATGCCGAAGTAAGCTGGACAAGGCAGTTCGTCACGGAGTTTTCCTTTTTTCCCCCAAAGAGGCTGGCAAAGCGACCAGGGAAGTCAACGGAAAGAACTTCATTTGTCGACCAAGAATTAGTATCCAATTTGCCCATCGGTTTTTCAGTTGGTGGGCAAATGTGCCGTTCAGTCATGTTGAGGCAGTCCTTTCGCGAGACAGTAGCCATGTACCGGTCCACGGTGACAAAACGGTCGCCTAACAAATTCGTATAATACGATTCGTGGACGGTTTTGATCGAGCAGCGATGGGCAATCATTTCTCGCGCTTGATTAACGTGGGAGTAAAGAGATACTCGAGTCGGCTTCCACTTAAGCTGCGACGAAAGGGTGCTACAGTATGGCGAGGTTGCCTTTTCAGGGAAAGTCCACAGGGAACTTGACTTGTGAGCGCACCAGAGAGCGGGTTTATTGTGACTTGTTTTGTTGTCTAAGTTCACTGACCTAGTGTATTCATGGTGTAAATTTTTTAACCAATTCGAGAAATCATTTTCTGTTGCCTCTGAAGCTCTTTGTGTGCTAGGTTGATAACTTGGGGCGTTATTGGCAAGTTTCGGTGGTTGCCTTTGTTTTAAATTTGTGCTTGGTGGCTGTGTTGGTGCTATTGTTTTAGTATTTTGAAAACGAGGCGCCAAAGTTTGGATTTGTGTTGTGCTGTTGTATAAACTTTGAGGGATATGTTGAGGCTGTGAATTGCTTTTAGGTGGTATTAGAACTGTGTTTTGCGGAGTCTCAGGGTTTGGTGCTGGCAAACTGGTGAGCACTTGAGTTGGTCTGAACGTTGTTGGCAATGATTTAGAAGGCAGGGTCGACTTGAATAACGTTGTTGTAGTTGTAGTAGTTGTCGGAGGTGGATAAGTTGTTGTCGTAGTGGTTGTTGCTGCAGCTCTCAGCCTTTTTTGTAGTTCAGCTAAATGTGCTTTCTTTTCTGGAGATAGAGCCACCGTTATTCGTCTGCCTTTTTTAGAGATTGTAGTGTGTGGTCCTCGGAACTCCGGCATTGCGTTCTGATCGGCCTTCTTTTGGATTTGTATAAGGAGAGGGCTATTGATTGCTGACACAACCGTAGGCAGGAAAATAGCCAGAAGCATAATAACAAACATGCAGTATTTGCCTTGTGGCCATTTGGTCCTTGCTAGCCCTTTTAATCTTTCTTCCTCTTTTTCTTTATAATGGCTTGCAGGAGGCGATCTATTTCTTTCTTTGTAGTGTGCTGCCAATTTTGCATTTATAATCATTGGTTCTGCGACCATTGTTGGCGTCGGCTTAAATTTTTCTCTAATTTTCTCTATTTGTGTTGTATCGAAGCCTGAGGTTGTTGGCATGTCTGCATCCATCTCTTCTTGGCTCTCGGTTGTCGTGAATCTTGGTGTTGAATTTATTTTGTTGCGGATTTCTGCGAGTTCGCCAGGTTTACCTCGCATTGTGTAGAAACCTGTTCCATATGTTTCTGCCATATTTTTGAATTGTTCTACCATTCTTATTCTATCCGTATATTTCTCTGGTTCATGGAGAACAAGTGTCGTTTTAAATTTCAATGAATTTTCGGCAAAAAATCTAAGAGTAGATTCTATTCCGGCAGAAATGTGGTCGTCCGCTTGTACTATGTAGATTATTTCTCGGACAAATCTTCCAGTAAAAATTATTTCTTGAAGTTCGCGGGATCCATCTATTGTAATTAGTCGGACTGACTTTTCGTCCGACCACGCATTAGCAGATTGAACTGTATTTTCCGAGACAAGGATTGTATCTGCTTCAACCAACATCAGAGGAGGAGAAGCGGTGAAAAATTCAAATCTTCTTTTTGTCAGCACTCTGTTTATAAGGTCCGTGAGTGTTACTAGCCAGTTATAAGGCCCAGTAAGAATTTTGTTGGATTCTGGCGGGTCTTCCAGTTGTACTGCTCCATAAGAGTTTTCTTCCCAAATTTTTCTAAGGACATGGCAATTTGCAATTCTGGTGTCTAGTATATCTTTTATTGTTTTGTCTTTAATTGCCTTCTTTGGGTCTGCCTTGATCAAATCCCAAAACTGTAGCAGTAAATAGACCATGTCATCCTTTTTTGAAAGAAGTTTCTCACAAGTCTCAAGCATAAACATGGGCCTTTTATATTGCCGCAAGATCCAGTCAAAAATGACCATTTGCAAAATATTCAACATTATTGGCAAGTTGAAAATGTTAGCCTTTGGTCGCATGTGAGCATTGAAGGACACTTCTCTTGAATGAAAGCAGTCCTTATGTTCGATTCCATGGCAATTCGTAAAAATGTTGTATGGGGCCTTAGTCGGCGGAGGCACAGGCGGTGTAGGGATTTCATTTTCATTTTGTGGGGATTTCCCAATCCCCATTTCCCTCCTTGCCCTTTGAGCTTCTCTTCTCGCAGCCATTTCCTTGTCTTTATCTTGTCGTTTGGCCAATTCTTCGTCCCATGCGATGGTAGCTAGACTTGTATTTGCTGTCTTTTCTTTGCCCGCATAGTCTTCTTTTCGGTAATTCTTCTTAAATTCTTCATTGTATCTGTTAAGAGCATTTTTCTGGCGTAAGGATTCCCTCTGTTTACGCGCCGTAGGCTTATTACATTTTGCTATTCGTTCTCGTTCTAGTTTGGCAATTCGTTGTCCGTCACGGAAAGAATATTTTCCGGCACCAAGAGTTTTGAAGAGCGCATTTAATCCAGAGATGGCCAGTCTTTTTGGTCGCTTAAATTGTTTCCGCGGAATTTTGTAATTAGCAGGCAGAGTGGGAAAATGTTTGTTTTTAGTAGCTTGATTTTTTGTTTCCTGGCGCACTGGGCTTTTTCCAGATGATAATTTGCGTTGTGGCTGCTCTTCAGAGATTTGCATGGTATAAGTGCTATCATCCGAGGTTGCTGAGTTGCGTCGTTCCCATTTAGAAGAATGGCAAGTGTCAAGTTCAATAATCTTGTTGGGCGGACGGCTTGATTCAATAGTAGCCACTCCAACAAAGTTCACGTTAGTGTTATCCATTTTATAGTTGTTGCCTTGTATTTCTAAAGGAAATAGAACATTTATACTTCGCTTAAAAATTTTTCCATTAATCATAATTTTGACAGTTCGGATAATCCCGTCTCTCCCCCTAATAAGTAGGACTATACGCGCCAATTTCCAGTGGCTCCTGGGGATTTCTTCTTCGCCTAGCAAAACTATATCTCCTTCTTTAGGAATATAATTTTCCTTGGCAAGAGGTTTCTGCGTCCTTTCTCTCAATGCCAGAAGATAATGAGACTGCCAAATTCGCCAAAGTTTATCCAAACGTATCTGCACCCAGTTCATTTTTCTTTTTAAATCAGAATTTTCCGGTTCGTAGTCTTCGTCGTTTTTGTCGGCTATTTTGTACGGCAAGGTTACACTGAAGTCGTCGTAAGGTATCAAGAAGTCGATTGGCCTTAGAGCTCTCAGTGGTTCCTTCTCTGACATAAATGTCAAGGGCCGTGAATTGACAATAGCTTCGACTTCGCACAACAGCGTTTGTAGATCGTGTTTTTGTAGTAAATTGCGGCCAATGCATCTTCTGATCGACATTTTTGTTATACCGACCATTCTTTCCCACGCGCCGCCCTCGCGAGGGTTTCTCGGCGTAATAAACTTCCATTCGGTTCCTTTGAACTTCATTTCTGAATTTAGTTCCCTCACAATTTTAGATCCGAGAGTGAAGTTGGTAGCATTATCAGAAATAATTAACGATGGAATTCCTCTACGGGCCGTGAATCTTCTATACGCTCTCAAAAATGCTTCCGCGGATAAGTCTTCCGCGAGTTCGAGGTGTATTGCTCGAACAGACATGCAGGTAAATAAGGCTCCGTAGATCCTTTCTAAAGTATTTTTTGAATGCCCTTTAATCTTCATCGGTCCAAAATAGTCAATTCCCGTAGTCGTGAATGGCCTTGAGCTAGACACGCGGTATTTCGGCAATGTGTCAAATTTTTGAAGATTATACGGCTTTAGTCTAAATTTTCGGCACGTCAAGCAGCCGTACTTTGTTGAAAATAATACGCGTTCCACTTCCTTTCTTCCTTTGAGTATCCAATATTTTCTTCTGATCAACGCAAGAAGGGTTTGTGTTCCGCAGTGTTTATTCGTTTTATGGAGATCGAGAATTATTAATTTTGTTAGCCACGATTCTTTCGGTAAGAAAACTGGGAATTTAGTGTTGTCCCCCAAGTCTGCTTCTTCTATGCGGCCTCGACATCTCAGTAAACCTTTGCGCTCAAAAATCTGTAGACTTAATTTTACTTCTTCGCTTGGTGGCCAATTTTCTTGAGCTTTCAGTATTAAATAATTTTCGGCTACTTTAATTGTTGTGCTTGTTATTATGGGTGATTTAATAAGTCCACGCAATTTTTTGATGAACAGAATAGTGTAAGACATTGCAGAGAGGAGTCGTTTATAATTAGAAAACCTCTCAATATTTATCACGCAGGGTGCTAATTCCTCTTCGACAGCCGCTGCCGAGATAAATTCTTCCGTTTTGTCTTGTATTTCGCTTCCAGGAAAATATTCGACAAGAGGAGTGGGCCATTTTTCCTTTGGAAGACTCAACCATTTGGGGCCGTACCACCAGAGTCGATTCACTGACAAGTCACCAGGCGTGGATCCACGAGAACAAAGATCGCTTGGATTATCGTTGCTGACCAAATGTTTCACTGGGCAGAGATTTCGAATTTTTTGTAGCCGATTTGTGACGAAGCGGTCGTATTTTCCGATTTTCTTAAGTCTTTCGATGTTACATTGACTATCAGACCAAATTGTTAGATTATCTGTAGCAACCTTGAGCTCTTGGTTGAGAAAACGAAATATTTTCGCTCCTAAAGTCATCGCCTGGAGCTCGAGTTTTGGAATTGTCGAAGCATTTATTGGAAGGGAGGCTGGTCGTACCAAGCTTTTTGCAAAAATGAGGGCCACCTTCGGTTGCATGTTTGTTTCTCGCGCATAAACGGCCGCACCGAAGCCGTGCCCTGAGGCGTCCGTAAAACAGTGATACTCGAGTTGGTCAGATGAGGTGCTGACTATTCTGTTAAATTCAACCTCAGAGGTGTCCTTCCAGGATGACATTATTTTTTGCCATTGTTTCTTTATGTCGTCAGAGACTTCAGTGTCCCATTTGTAGTTAGCCTCGAATACCTTTTGGAGCAAATGTTTGGCAGGGACTAGAGCAGGCGATACTATTCCAAGAGGGTCGTAGACTTGAGCAATTGTTGATAATATTGATCGTTTAGTGATTTTTCCTTCGAATTCCGGCAGTTTCAGGATGAGAACATCCTTTATTTGATTCCATTTTATTCCCAGAATTTTTGTTTCTTCTTGATTCGGGGCTAAATCTTCGCTTGGTATTTGTCGTTCAGACTTTTTGAGGCCAAAAAATTCTCTTAATTTCATGCCGCCTGCCTTAAATATTTCAATCGCTTCAAGACATGCTGAGGTTGCATTTTCACCAGGATTCAGGCACATCATAATGTTGTCAACATATAAATTTTCCTCTATTGAACGCGCGACTTTTGACTCATAGAGACTCAAATGTTCTCTTATAGTTGCATTGAGAAGAAATGGTGAGACAGTGAGACCAAAGCTTACTCGACAAAATCTGTAGACTGTGCAGGGCGCGTATTGAAACTGATCCAATTCAATTTCCTTTGGATTTTTGACCCACAAAAAGCGTGTTGCATCGCGGTCAGATTCTCGTACTCCCAGCTGAAGAAAAGCCTTCTCTATATCTGCTAATATTACTCGCTTCATAAATCGAAAGCGCAGTAATATTCCAATGAGTTGTTTTAGCAGAAGAGGACCAGTGTGAAGACAATTATTCAAAGAAGGTGCCGAAGGCTGACTTGGAGGCCGCGCACTTGCATCCATGACAATGCGGACCTTTGTATAGGCTTTATCCATTTTAAGAACAGCCCTATGAGGAAGATAATGAACTGGGCCTGTACTTTCTCCAGGATTGGGCACAAGTTCAATGACGCCATGGGCCAATTGTTCGTCGATGATCTTTTGATATTCATCGATAATCTTCAGTTGTCGGAGTTTTCGGAGCGTGCTAGCTAGTCTCATTTTTGCGTGTCGATAATTTGTGGGGAGGCTGTGAATCTGGTGGTTGAAAGGCAGTGCAACCTGATATCGGCCCTCCACAAATGTTAAGTTCTTTTTAAAATTTTGCATAATTTCCTTGAGCTAGACACGCGGTATTTCGGCAATGTGTCAAATTTTTGAAGATTATACGGCTTTAGTCTAAATTTTCGGCACGTCAAGCAGCCGTACTTTGTTGAAAATAATACGCGTTCCACTTCCTTTCTTCCTTTGAGTATCCAATATTTTCTTCTGATCAACGCAAGAAGGGTTTGTGTTCCGCAGTGTTTATTCGTTTTATGGAGATCGAGAATTATTAATTTTGTTAGCCACGATTCTTTCGGTAAGAAAACTGGGAATTTAGTGTTGTCCCCCAAGTCTGCTTCTTCTATGCGGCCTCGACATCTCAGTAAACCTTTGCGCTCAAAAATCTGTAGACTTAATTTTACTTCTTCGCTTGGTGGCCAATTTTCTTGAGCTTTCAGTATTAAATAATTTTCGGCTACTTTAATTGTTGTGCTTGTTATTATGGGTGATTTAATAAGTCCACGCAATTTTTTGATGAACAGAATAGTGTAAGACATTGCAGAGAGGAGTCGTTTATAATTAGAAAACCTCTCAATATTTATCACGCAGGGTGCTAATTCCTCTTCGACAGCCGCTGCCGAGATAAATTCTTCCGTTTTGTCTTGTATTTCGCTTCCAGGAAAATATTCGACAAGAGGAGTGGGCCATTTTTCCTTTGGAAGACTCAACCATTTGGGGCCGTACCACCAGAGTCGATTCACTGACAAGTCACCAGGCGTGGATCCACGAGAACAAAGATCGCTTGGATTATCGTTGCTGACCAAATGTTTCACTGGGCAGAGATTTCGAATTTTTTGTAGCCGATTTGTGACGAAGCGGTCGTATTTTCCGATTTTCTTAAGTCTTTCGATGTTACATTGACTATCAGACCAAATTGTTAGATTATCTGTAGCAACCTTGAGCTCTTGGTTGAGAAAACGAAATATTTTCGCTCCTAAAGTCATCGCCTGGAGCTCGAGTTTTGGAATTGTCGAAGCATTTATTGGAAGGGAGGCTGGTCGTACCAAGCTTTTTGCAAAAATGAGGGCCACCTTCGGTTGCATGTTTGTTTCTCGCGCATAAACGGCCGCACCGAAGCCGTGCCCTGAGGCGTCCGTAAAACAGTGATACTCGAGTTGGTCAGATGAGGTGCTGACTATTCTGTTAAATTCAACCTCAGAGGTGTCCTTCCAGGATGACATTATTTTTTGCCATTGTTTCTTTATGTCGTCAGAGACTTCAGTGTCCCATTTGTAGTTAGCCTCGAATACCTTTTGGAGCAAATGTTTGGCAGGGACTAGAGCAGGCGATACTATTCCAAGAGGGTCGTAGACTTGAGCAATTGTTGATAATATTGATCGTTTAGTGATTTTTCCTTCGAATTCCGGCAGTTTCAGGATGAGAACATCCTTTATTTGATTCCATTTTATTCCCAGAATTTTTGTTTCTTCTTGATTCGGGGCTAAATCTTCGCTTGGTATTTGTCGTTCAGACTTTTTGAGGCCAAAAAATTCTCTTAATTTCATGCCGCCTGCCTTAAATATTTCAATCGCTTCAAGACATGCTGAGGTTGCATTTTCACCAGGATTCAGGCACATCATAATGTTGTCAACATATAAATTTTCCTCTATTGAACGCGCGACTTTTGACTCATAGAGACTCAAATGTTCTCTTATAGTTGCATTGAGAAGAAATGGTGAGACAGTGAGACCAAAGCTTACTCGACAAAATCTGTAGACTGTGCAGGGCGCGTATTGAAACTGATCCAATTCAATTTCCTTTGGATTTTTGACCCACAAAAAGCGTGTTGCATCGCGGTCAGATTCTCGTACTCCCAGCTGAAGAAAAGCCTTCTCTATATCTGCTAATATTACTCGCTTCATAAATCGAAAGCGCAGTAATATTCCAATGAGTTGTTTTAGCAGAAGAGGACCAGTGTGAAGACAATTATTCAAAGAAGGTGCCGAAGGCTGACTTGGAGGCCGCGCACTTGCATCCATGACAATGCGGACCTTTGTATAGGCTTTATCCATTTTAAGAACAGCCCTATGAGGAAGATAATGAACTGGGCCTGTACTTTCTCCAGGATTGGGCACAAGTTCAATGACGCCATGGGCCAATTGTTCGTCGATGATCTTTTGATATTCATCGATAATCTTCAGTTGTCGGAGTTTTCGGAGCGTGCTAGCTAGTCTCATTTTTGCGTGTCGATAATTTGTGGGGAGGCTGTGAATCTGGTGGTTGAAAGGCAGTGCAACCTGATATCGGCCCTCCACAAATGTTAAGTTCTTTTTAAAATTTTGCATAATTTCGTCGTTGTCTATAGGTTGGAGAGTATCGTCCATTCCTATTGAATGTAACCCGAAGAAGGTCGCGAGATGCTCATTGTTCTCTCTGTCATTAATTGTAATTGAGTTGTCATTAGGTGCATTGTAGCTTGGCACATTGATGTGGGACGAATTGTCTCGTGGCAAGTTGTCGTTTAGAGAATCTTCGTTGCATTCGAAGGTGGCGTTAACTTGCACCGAGGCGGCATATATTGTATGTGATCCTGTGGTTTGCTCAATTTTTCCGGCGCCGCTTAGAAGTTGTCCGAGCCGAGATTCACTAATCGTAAAACCGCTCGGTAGTGTTGCCTTCTTCTCAATTTTGAGCTCATGGAACAGATCCATACCTATCAGTAGATCTGGTTGTCGGTAATTGACATTCGTAGTGAGTTGTAGTTGATTGAGCTCCTCGTTGGTAAGCTCCTTTAGATTATACAGTGGCAGAGGATTGACGAGAAAACTTAATTTGTTTAAGACGATGCTTAATTTTTCTCCCTCTTCAGTCTGTAAATTTGCGCGCACCAGATCACTTTTATATTCTTTGGCCCGCCTTTCACCAAAGCTCGTTAATCTGCAGGTGTCATTGGCCAGCACTATTGGCAATTTGAGAGCGTCAGATAGTCTGGCAGAGATAAACGATCTTTGACTCCCAGGATCGATGAAAATCAAAGCTTTTTCTTTAATATGTGGCCTTGCCGGATTACAAACCGGAGCCTCAAGAGTCATAAGTAGTGCCTTCGATTCTTTGTCTTCCACTACGTTTGCTTGTTCAATTTGACAATTTGTTGCACTTGGTTGATCCTTTCTTTGTGTTCTGACAATATTTTCTTGCCTATGGGCGATTGGTAGTTGGTTTGGGTTTCGTTGGAAACATAGCGCAGAGGGATGCCATCTTTTGCAATAGTAGCACTTTGCTGGGTTTTTGCATTCTGAACTTAAGTGGTTCCTTCTTAAGCACCGTGTGCAGAGCTTCTTTTCTTTGGCCAGTTGTAGTCGCGCTTGTGGGTTACTGTATTTGGTGCATTTGTCATTCCAGTGTGCGAGACCACAAAAAATACAATCTGGAATAGAAGTTCGAGTATTGACTTGTTGCCTTGCATTTTTTAAGCCCCTTTGAATTTCCTGCCTTTGTATTGCCTGTTTATTCGATTGAGTTTGAGTTCGTTGAGTCATTACTCTTTGCCCTTGAGTTATTGCTGCGTAAGTGTAATCTGGCCGTTGAAATTGGGGTTGTGGCCTTTGAAAGTTTTGTCGATTTGGTCTCGGTTGTCGTCTAGTGGAATCATGTTCGTACTCGTTCATTACTTCTTGGATGGCAACTTCTTTTTGAAGCGCTTCGATAAGTGCTCTACGAAATTTATTTGTTGACCAATTGGACGGGTCTTCTGCCTTTTTCGATAAAATTGCGCGTAAAAACGGCTTATTCAATTTTTTCTCTAGCATTAAATGGACAGCTGGTCCCTCGATGTCCTCGCCCATGTTTTTCATTTCCCTGGCAAGGCGCTCAAGGTCGAGTGAAAATTTCTTGACGTCATTTAAAGTATTGCAGATTTTCAAATTTGCTAGTCGAGAATGAAGATTACGGATGTGTGCATCCTTATCACCATATTGGTCCTTTAGAAGCTGGAGAGCTTCCTTGTAGTTCTTCGCCTCTAAGCGGAATCCGGCAATTAACTCGCGCGGTTCGCCGTCAACGAGGTTACGAAGTAATGTAAGTTTTTCGATGTCAGACCCTGAGCTCGAGTCCACCGCGCAACGGAAGCTTTCGTAGAATTCTAACCAGTCTTTTCTGTCCCCGTTAAAGCGTTTTATCTGTAGAGTGGGGAGTTGATAAATGGAAGAAATTGCTTGTCGAGTAGCGACACTGCTACTCGATTCTTGTTGCGGCGTCGACGCTTGGAGTGACTGAGCATGTTCCAGTTCTTCTCGCCTTTTTTCCTTTTCAAGCTTCGAAGACAATAACTTCATTTTAATTGTGGTACTTGAATGGTGGTCACGCAAATTTCGCAGCATTAATTCAATAGTTTCCATAGATTTGTCCAATTTTTGCTCGGCTTGGAAAGCCTCAAATTCTTCATTAGCCTGCTTTCTCTCGTCCCCCGGCAGTTTTCGAAGTAGGTCAATATATTGCGCCAAGGCGGATCGAATATCACTCAGATACCCTTCACCCGTCGCAATCTCGGAGGCGATTTTGTCTACAAGCGCTTCCAATTTCAAGAATTTGGTTTCGAGGTTGTCTGATTCCGATACTTCCTCGCTTAAGTCTTTTACTGTTCGCAATCTTGCCAGAGTGCGTATAGACGAGATGATTGTTGCTTTAATAGGTGCTGCCATGTTGATTCAGTTTTTCAAGAATTTGAGAGAGAGGACGCAGATTTATTAGTGTTTCACCGGAACCGAAATTTTGACCGTAACCGGAACTTAGCAATTTCAAGTAAAGGGCTCAGGTTCCGAAATTTCGATTTTACTTGTACTCTTACCTCCCAAAAAACCTAACCGAACTGTCTACCGATCAACAAAGACTTTGCACAGAGACAAAGTTTTATTGAACAAAATTTAATTGAAAAATTGGGCCCACCAAATACAAAAAAGCGTATAAAAACGCTTACTTTGTATGAAAATTTGAACGACCAAAAATAAGCACAAAGGCAAATTCTTTGGCGTTTAGTAAAAAATAAAAAAAAAATTTTTTTCCAGTTTAAAAAATCTTATTTTAGGCCCAATAGATTAGAGAAACCTAATTCCGTAAAATTTTCTTTTTAAAATTTTAATTTAATTTTTCTACCACCTCAACAAAACAGGTTGCAGACAGTGCTTGGAAATTTCAGATTTGCTCGTACTCGTAATTCGTACCACACAATGTTCAAAGCAATTTGGAAGCAGGAATTGCCAGTTGTTTGCAAAGAAGCTCGTACCAAAATTCGTATTTCTGTTGTTATTTGTGTTGTTTGGCTTGAGCCCCCAGTTTAATATCTCAGAACAATAAAGAATCAACGAATTTTAGATAAATTTTATTCTTAATACTAGGGTTTATAACAATTTAGGCGGGAATAATTTTGGGCAGAAAAACGGACTCAAGAACTGAAAAATTAGTAAGAAAATTGGCCTTAAAAGGCAAAATTGATCTCAAGAAAAAGATGAGAGGGGGTGAAGGAGGAGCAAATATTTGTTAAATTATTAAACAGTTTGGCGAATAATGAGGGGAGGAATTGTGGAATTTTTGGCCCATTTTGGCGGAACGGGCCAAATTTAAAGAAAAGAATAGTTTGGCCCGTTCCGGCCAAAATGGGCCAAAAATTGGGCAAATATAGAAAAGGGAAATAATAGGTTGATCACATTCTAAAGTAATTAAATGATTTGTCGGGCCCATTTTTTGGGGGAAGCAATAAGAAGAATTTTGGTGCTTCCGCCCAAAAAATGGGCCCGACAGGTTTTTATTTATCAAAAAATTAGTTTAACAATAATAGAGGGAAAATGCGCGAATGCTCACGCACATAATTAATTTATTTATTTAAAAATATATTTATTAAATATTTTTTCTACACCTTGTCATTATTCGCTATTGACTGTCAGTAAAGAAGGAAAACATAAAAAGAATAAAAGAATAGGGAGGGGGGGGGGTGATGACTTCGGTGTGATAATACAGGAAAATCTTTTATTTTTCAAATAAACATGTAAATTTCGACAATATAGCCTGTCATAAATATTTTTATACATTTATTAGAAATAACAACATTTCAACTAGCAAATAGCAATAGGTATATACAACAAGAAGGTGATTGTTATATTACAAAACCTACACAATATATGGGTGGGGGGGGGGGGGGGGGGGTGATTACATGTATATCACCACAACTAACACAAATATTCTCAATATTTATTCACTACATCACACACTTCAATTTAGTTCTCCTTTACGGTTATCATGCAGAAGTCTTCTCGCACAAGTTTAGCCTGCTGGATGTTGCCTCCAATCTTGCCTCCATGAACAGTGAATGGCAACAGAATGGAGGTACTAGTAGTGTCATCAGTCGAAGCGGCAACAATGGCGTTGTTGTTCTTTGGAGGGGAAGGAGCTTCAGAAGACTTCCCCCCTTCCACCTTCACATTTTTGGTCGCTTCCTCGACGAACATCATCTCGCATGCATACAGAGCCTCGAACAGGTAGAGAACAACCAGCACAGCGGAACAAATCTACAAAATTGAAATTTGGATTGAAAAATCATCAAAATCTCCCACCACCGCCACAATGAAGACTTTGGGCTTCTCCGGTCGGAAATTTGTGCACATCCATAAACTGTCCCAGTTCATGCTCGTGGAGGAAGTCAAGACCAGCATAATTCCCCAAACGACAATTGAGACCACCAGAAAAATCAGCTCGCAAACCTTTAAAATAAAAAGAGGATTTAAGACTGAATTTAAGCCTGAAAATCACCGAATAACGTCCATTATTGTCACTGAGAGCACAGCGACAGAATTGAAGAATCAGGTGCAGAAAACTGGCTAGAGTGTAGACGAGCAAATGCTTTGCTACATGGTTGAACGGATCGAAAACATCGGCAGGCTTGTTTTCTTGCATTCCTTCCATTTTGTTGATCTGCAAAATTATTTAACCTTAAATGGGATTTAATGGGGATGTTTTCACCTTGTAGGCGTGAGTCCCATTAGGGAAGCGAGGCTGTATTTGGTTGTCAGAATTGGCCGGGTCTTCCTTCTCCTCAACATCTTTTGTCTCCTCAGAATTTGCTGCACTGGCAACCGAAGGCAGAGGAATTTTGGCGGTGTTGGCGGTCCCTTTGTCTGTTGAAGTAATGTTCGGTAGACTTGTATTCAATGAGGTCATATCCGGAGATTCTCCAAGAATACTTTCCGTCAGATTCTCGACATCTTCTGGCATTTGCAACACATCAAGCTGACCATGACCTTTAAAAAATGAAGAAGATTCGTCAACTCTAAAATAATCCTTCTCACCGGTTTTCCATTCGAAGAGAAGAGAAATGCGCATCTTCAATTCCCCAGTGGTCGAATTTACTTCATCGCCAGTGACTTTCAGGCTGCGCTCCAGAATTGTCAGGATTCGTCCAGAACTAGGAGTGTTGTCCTTGCTGCCTTCACTTCTCTCCTCTCGATCTTTCAATGTAGCATATCCGCTATTGCTGAGGTGTTCATCCCATTTCTCCTGCGGTGTTGGCGGCTCTGCATTGTATATGACGAATTCTTTGCATCGCAGACCGTCAGATTCTAGGAGCATCTTGCGGATATTCGCCTACAAATAAAAATAAGGATTAGACCAATCAAATACTTTTAAGCACCCGATCGGCGTAGTAGAAGTTTCCTCGAAGTTCGGTCGTTGACAGAGCTTGCATGAGCACAATAAGCACGCAGAGGATTTGGATGCAATTCACCATCAAGAAGAGCATGACGTTGTGCTTGTCTGCTGGAGTAGTAGCCTTGCCAGAAGTCATCTTATGTTGCTGTTGTTGCACCATTAAGTGAATCGGTCTGATGATGTTGGGGGGCTTGACAATTTGGATTTGAGATGGATAAAACATAAAACAATGTTTCTTTTATAGTAAGGGGTAGGATTTATTTTTTTAAATTTTCCACGGAGAGTATTTTATTTTCCAACAAATTTATCCACAAGCAATGCTGGGTATGGTTCCGAGAGGCAGCTTGGACCTCAGAATTAATGATGATTTGAACATGTGAATTTTGAATTCGACCAACTTGTTTTGTGGAGATAGTCTTATATTAAAAAATACGGTATGAGGTAGTGGGTTCTATTTAAGTTATCACACCTTCCAAAATATTTATCTGTTTCCCTACGGACTATTAAAGAAACATTCTTTCTCTTTCCGAATTTTCCAAAATATTTATCCGTTTCCCTACCTCTCTCCTTAATACAGACAAAATATTTGATTGATTATGAAATTTAGTAGGGAGGCATGGGATAGAGAGAGAGGAAAAGCATTTTAGCCCTATTTTAAATTGCCAATATTTAAATTTATTTATTTTATATATTTTAATTAAAAAGGATTTTAAACAAAAATTATTAAAGAAACATTCTAAACATTTAATTGAAAATACAGTCAGACCTCGTTACAGGATAGAAACAGATATATAATCCGATATAATCCGATATATAATCCCGATATAACGGCACCCCTGGCCGAATTTTGATGACATTAGAAAGAAGACGGCGTAGAATCGTGTATTGTTATATATGTAGAGATTCCCCTGTATGCTTTCTTAAAAATTTAGTGAATCTGACTATAAGTTTAATTTAACTATTAAAAATCTCCTTCAATAAAAAGGCACTCTTTCAATTAATTTCCAAAACTCAAAAAAGTTTGAAAAACCAAAATCAAAGTTTTGAGAGAATATTAGAACTAAATGAAAAAAACTCCAAAAAACAAATGCCAAAACAAATCAAAAACCTCCTCACCCCTCTTATCCTCCTCACCCCTCTTAATTATTTAAATAATTTAAAGACTTACACGTCGAATAAAAAATTTTATATGTTAGATAGAGAAAGAGAAAAAAATTTTAATTGATTAATCAATCAATTGATTTTGAGGGGTAATGGAGGGGGGGGGGGTGAGGTGGAGAGGAGAGGGAGAGAGGTTGAGGGAATTTTTTATTTTAGCGATTTTATATAGCCAGTAATTTGTTTATATTTTTTAAATAAAATTTAATAATATTTGGGGAGTTTTCAGTCTTGTTTATAATAAATACAGTCAAATCTTGTTATACTCCCATAAATATTCTGGAACGGAACTCAGTTATGTTTTAAAGTGGCCATTGGATGAATGGAAAGAAGGGAGCTTTGGGAAGGGGGCAGAGGGTGAGGAGGGAGGGGGTATGGAGGTCTAAACGATACATCCTCTTTAGCGGAGATATCGTAATTTCAAGGTCTCGGAGAGATTTGGTTATAGTTTTTTAAATTCTCCCCAATAAAAAGACCTTTCGTCAAAAAACTTCCTCTGTTTTCCTGTTAAAGGAGTTTTCAACAAAATATAATTTTTTAGAAACAAAAATGACGTTGAATAATCAACGTCTAACTATTTTATTTAAGTTTTTGCTATTTGCGATTTTGTTGAGTTGCCAATTTGTGGAAATTGAAATGGGTGGTCGTAAGTTTATTTTTTTAATTTTTAAAAATAATTTATTCAAGCAACAACTCAACTAGTAAGAACGGCTCTAAGAGCCGCTAAGACGGCTATTAAGCCTAATACGATTAGCAAAGTTGCTGGAAATGTTGAAAAAATGGGAGCAGAGGCTGTAGAGACGAAATTATTGCCACATCAAAAACCTAAGGCCCCAACTACCAAGTAAAGATTTTATATGAAATAAGCTTTTGTTCTACAACACTCCTAGTAAATGTCACAGTGAAGGGCAGAAATTTTTTTGTATATTCTTAGTAGCCCTTATAGACTAATTAATTAGTCTCTCCTGCGAGAGTTTAAGAGTCTAATTTAGCTGGAAAAGACTTTAAATGGGCCTCAAATAAATATAGTTGAATATATCAGAGAAAGGAATAAGTTCCCATTTCCGCATTTGTTTCCAATGGATAATCTGAAAATTTTAAAAAAAAAGGAAAAATGGGAGCCTAAACTGAAATACTTCAATAAATAAAATAAAAAATTAAAAGGCCCAACAGCCATCCTTCAACACCTTCACAAATTCACCCACCAAAACAGCAACAAATACATAAATTTGAACACCCTAATCGTCCTCATTTTGAACATCAACAAAGATTTGCTCATAGTATCAATTTCCAAGGCATATCTTCACATGTTTCACCGTCTATATCCTCAGCAAGAGTAAAATTTAATATTCTTAGTAAAATTTAATAATTAAATACTTTAACTTAAATTTAAGCCAAAGAATTTTTCTGTTAAATTCTGTAGCACGTCCTGATCCCTGCACATATTTTAACTTTATCCCGAAACTCTCGTCCTTAAACTATGAGAAAACCTGATACTCCGACATAACCCTTTGTGTTTGGCATGCAACTCTAACTCTAATTGAAGCTCTAATTTGGTGGTTTTTTCTTCAAGGACTTCTTCTCTAACTATGTCTAGAATTGAAATTACAGGAATCGGGGCAGCATTTTTCTGTTAAATATTTGATATCTCGTACAGACTATCAAGAATATATTCTAAAGAGATATTTATACATACAGTTAAAGAGTTCCCTATTAAAACAACCCTAAATTAAACCGAAGTTTGAAGGGGGATATAGTAGTAAATAAATAAAAATTCTTTAGACTTTAATACATATTTAAATAAATATTTTAGGGAATAGGAGACTTACTTGTTGATTCAAATATACAAGGAAGAGTCAATCATAGTAATATTGTAGTTCAAAGAATTGGCCACAAGTTAATGGAAAAAGCCCCAAAAACAATTAAAGAGTTTGTTTCTAAAATGGTTGAAAAGGTTGCACGAGTAAATGAAAAACAAGTTGAAAATCTTATAGAAAAAGCAAAAAATACAATAGATAATGTGGATAAGGTAAAGTTTGGATTTAAAGAGTCATCGAATTATTCTGTTAACCGAAATCGAAAAATCCGAACCAAAAAAGTCTATCGGTTCGGCTCTGTTTGAAACAGACAATCCTAATCTGAGCTGAAGACAGGACTAGAAGTGGCAATATTTCGAAAAATCTCAATCTCTATAACTAAAATTTATTGTTCGAGAGTTTGGATGGAGAAAATCAAACCCGACAAAAATTCGATGTTTTAATTGAAAATATCCCGGTATTCAAAACTTATCGGCATTGCGTCGGCGGCTATTGAGATGGTACTCGGCACGCCTACATAGATTTTTAATCTCTCTCAATCCCACAATGCTTAGCCGATAAAATATTTTTTTGCACACAAAAAAATGTGTAAAATTTTCTATTTTTTTATTTTTTAAATAATAAATAAATAAATAATTTATTTAAATATTTTCCTCTCTTTTTAAAGTTTCAATCCAGTTTGAATAACAAACCTACCAAAAACCAAAAAATCAGCACGGCAGAAGATTTGTTGAATGCTGTATCCAACAAACGTAAAGAAAAGAAAAATTATGATGACGATTTGTGGGTAAATGAAAATGACAAAAAAATGAAAGAGAAAGCTTCGGGATTAATTGAAAAAGTTTATGGGGAAATTGGCAAATCTGGTTTAAAATTGGAAAAAGAAGTTTTGAAAAATTTTCTTTAAATAAATAGGGGGAGAGGAGGGGGAGAGGAATAAAAGGAGAGAGAAAATACTCATTCTTAGATAACTCCAAAAATAACAAAAACCTCTATTAGACAATACTCCTTTTTAAATACCCCAGCAATATCCCCAAACTAATATACCCCTCATTGTTAGTTTTTTTCAACCTCAAGGGGTATAAGGTTTATTTCTCCAAAAATATCCTTTTTATTTTCCCAGATTGACTCAGATGTTTCCAACTCAATTCTTAAAATTCTTAAAAAACAAGGAAATGAAGGGGAAATGACAAAAGATGAAATTGAAAAAATCTTTAAATTATTTGAAGATATGGGTTTCGACGAGAAACAAAAGAATGCACTTGGAAGTATTAAGACGATTTTTGAAGTTTTTTTGGATAATGCTAAGAAAGAATGAGAAGAAAATTTTTGTTTGGTTTGGAGTTTTTAAGTTGTAAATTCTATGAATTTACATAAAAGAAAGTGAAGAAGATACACTCAACTCTCATTAGTAGAGGCCCTCCTTAATATAGACTCCTGTTATTAGCGACTCTCATTATAAGCGACTCTCAATAAAAGCGACTCTCAACATAAGCGACTCTCAACAAAAGCGACTCTCAACATAAGCGACTCTCTTTAATAACGACTCTCAGTATAAGCGACTGATTTTTTTAAATTCTAACAATAATTATAGTCACAATGATTTTCAAAAAGTTATCCATTTTGATTAATAGGGGGAGGGGTGTATTGCGGGAAATTTGCTTTAAAACAAGGGAAATTTCAAGATATCATTTTAAAAAATGCCGAGTCCTTATTTATGTCAATACTAGTGAGGGTTGATTAAACATGTTTGCTTTTCAAAAAAATTATTTATTTATTTATCCTTTTTTTTAAATTATATACCTTTTACATATGTAGATTTACCTCGTGTTGATAAAATTTTGGGAAAAAACAAATATTAGCTAAGAGTATTTATAAAATTTAGTTTTTCTAAAGTAACCATTCCTAACTTTTTAAAATTTATAGTAAATAAATTTTTTGTAAACAAATTATAAAAAATCTAATATTCTTCTTAAAAAGCCCTCAAAACTTGTCTATAACAAAATTGTAAAAAAATAAAAATCCCCCAAAAGACTGATACACTTTGACTGGCCAGAACTCGTCCCAAAGTCATTTTACAAGAAAACGGAAATAACTTCGCAATAGGAAATTGTAGATCTTCTATCGAATTTTATCAAAAGACCTCGCTTAGTTTAAGCCCTTAGGGCAGAAACTATCGTAGAATATATTGGCATATAAATTTGTGATTGGGGGGGGGGGGGGGGGGGTGTTCAGTGAGAGAAATAATATTTTGAAGTTTATTTTAATTAGAATCCCTTACTTTTATGGACTCCGAAACTTATTTTCAACGTTAAAATATTAATTCTTTTCATTCCAACTTTCTTTAATTAATTATAAAATTTAATTAATTAAATTTAATTTATTTAAAAAATTTAAAAAAATCGATCAATTGTGTATTTATTTAAAGGGCAAAAAAATTTTTTGCCCTTTAAAATTTTTATAAAATTTTTTTCTGTTTATTTGTTAAATAAAAAAAATTTTTTTATTAAATTCTTGGCGAGGGAAAAAATTGATTGAGCTCTCACTTTTTCTTTAAATAAATCTTAAACCCCCCCCCCTCCTCCCCCCATTAATAAAAACTTTTAAATAATAACCAGTTGAATCCCCCTTCTTTAAAATATTAAATTAAAAGATTTTTTTCCAAATTTATTTAGAAACCCAATGCCACATCTTGAAAAACATTCGACTAACAATCTAATAGATTTTAAACGTCTATATAGTCATGGAACACCGTCACCAACATTTTTATTTTCTCCAAAGGTTTTTAGAGAGAAAATTTTCTTTTTTTTTAATTTTTAAAATTTAAATAGGGAAAAGTATTTAATTATTCAACTGGCGAATTATTCGATAAAATTTTAACCAAAAAAGAAAAATCTAAGGAAATGTTAAAACAAATTTTAGACTATATTTTTACAATTGAAGATAAAAAAGTTGAAAAATTATTTAAAAAACTTAACAAAATAAGAAAAAATTATAACACGGTAATAAATTGGCAACATCTTAGAATGGAAGGCGTTTTCAGATTTTTTTGTTTTTTTTTCCTTCTCGGAATAATCACCCCCCTCCTTCCTTTATGAATATTTTCATAGCAAAATTAGAGTGTATATAATTAAGGTTGTCAATTCAGAACCGAGGATATTTCAGTTCGGCTCTTCGATTTAGTAAAGAATATCCGAAGATTTTCCAGGAACTGACAATTCTTTTAGTATTCATATAGTTGAGGCGAACTGGGAAGGGCGGACTGTGAGGGTCGTCTCAATTAAAGAATTTGAGAATTTCTATTAATTATTAAATATATAAAAATTATATAAAGTGTGTAATATGTCTGATAATTTATTAAAAAAATATTTTTTAAAAGCTCGAGAAATATGCAAAAAATGCTTCAAACTTGGAAGAAGCAAATAAATTAATTGTCAAACCAAAAGATTTTTGGAAAGATGGAGAAGATGAAGAGAATCCTTTTGCTGAATTATTTGAGAGAGTTACCCATTCAAAATTAAATATTGGAGAGGTTTTGTTGAGGGTTTTTGTTAAATTTGGGTGATTGGGGGAATTAAAAGGAATTGGGGAAAATAAAATTTTGGTTACTGACCCAAAATCCGCATTAAATTTCCGAAATCCACAAAAATCTCCAATTGAGTGGAGGTGTAATTTTGGAGTTGAAGAGACTTTAAACACCAAATAAGTTTAAAAATGAAAGACGAAGATGGAGTTGTAAACAGAAATATTTCAATGTTTTTCTTTTTTTAATCAAAAATAGCCCAGCCCTTTTATTCAGAAAATCAAAAAAAACTTTTTTTTTATTTTGAGATGGACCCAGAAATTGTTGAAAAAATCAATCAAATTTTAAAAGATGAAGGTATATTGGTTGAAGATAAAATTGAAAAGATTTCTAAAATTCTTGATGAAATGAACGATAATGGAGAGGATTTTGTTGAAGAAGAATATTGAAGAGAAAAGGAAAAGGAAGACAAAAATTTTTTTGAATTTGTAAAAAGCATATATATTTTGCTTCGATTTTATTCCGTTTTTTTTAAAAATTCCTACCGATTTATGAGTTATTTGAGAAAGGAAGGAAGGAGAGGGGGATTAAACTGAAAATTATCCATTTACATTTTTTAGAACCCCTCTTTTAACCCCTCTTTACCCCACTCTTTTACAATAGTTGAAAAGCCCTCAACAATTCCCTTCTTTCCTCATTTTTTGATATTCCAACCTCAAATTCGTTAACTTTGATTTTATCCTGTTTATTATTTTATTTTTTAAAGTTTATATTTAAAATTTTGAGCTTCACCCATTTATCAGTCCCTGCTTTTTTTTAAATATTTTTAACATTGTCATTTATTTTGCAAGCATAAAGAAGATACTTTTTTTGGAAGATGTACATATATTTTTTTTCATTTTGAATATTTTATTTATTCTTTTAAGTTTGTTGTTATTAATTTATTTATTATTAATTTGTTTTTGGGAAAATTAAATTTAGACAATATACTTAATTTAAATTATTTATTAACTCTTAAATTCTTCTTGTTTTCATATAAATTTCATGTTTAAATTATTTTATGGTTTCTGAAGCCATATTCTGTAGAAAGACTAACTAAATTAAACCAAATTTGGGCAATAATTGTTGTTATTCGCATTCCTAAAAGCTTCCTTTTAAAGACCTATTTTAAAGTATTGTCCAAAAATTGAAAAGGCAATTTAACAAAAAATTTTTTAAATTAATACAGGACAATATATTAATTGGCATATTGACCGGTTATATTTTTTAAATAAATAATTATTAATATTTTTTTATTTAAATGAATTTTTTTCTAAAAAAATTTTTTTTTAATTTATTAACTGAAGAACGAAAATAATAAATAAATTGTTAAAACAAACTAAACTAAAATAACAACTCAAACCAAAAAATAATTATGGAGCGAAAAATTTTTTATCTCAATCCTGATTGTTTTAAAATATTTTTGTTTCTATTTGTTTTATATTTTTCATATAATATTGGACACGAGACAAGTTTCAAAACTTGAAATTTTGTTTTTTTTTGCCCCAGAAATTAACCGCTTTTAGGAAATTTAAAAAAATAAGTGATTTTTTAAAAAATTATCAAAATAAACTCGACAGTTGACAAATATTCAAAACCAAAGTTATCGGTTATTAAACCGGTTGTCTCCAATTCTTGTTTCATACATCTATAGTCCGACTGTAACCTTTCTTAAACATTTTAGAAGGTATTATTTTGTTTGTCTTTTTTGGAGAAGCCTAGAATGGGAATAGGTATATTCACGGTATTGTTTAATTAAAATATTTTTTAAATTCAGCACTTTTTAAATTCTTCTCCATCATTTATTCTGATCAAAATTAGTCTGCAGAAACCCTCTTAAAAACTTTTATTTTAAAAAATTTTAAAAGATTTTAAATTGACAATTTTAAATTTCTCCTCTAATTTTAATTGATTTTTTCCATTGTTTAAAATTTTATTTTTTTTTACATGCCCTAGCATGAGGGATAAACGCGCAAAAATTTGGCCGGTGTAGAGGGGAGAGAGGGGAGGAGGGGGTGGGGGAGAAGGAGGAGGAGGAGGGGAATACACGCATCTTTTTGGGATTTTGGCAAATAAATAAATTATCTATTTTATTTTTTTAATTTTAAAAATATTTTTATATAAATTTTTATAAAAAAAATTTTTTTTTATATTTTTTCTAAATTAAATTACTTTTTTATATTTCCTATAAAAAAGAGGTTTGGAAGTTGTCTTGTAAAGGAGATAATAGCTAGCACCTTCAAGTTCAATTTATTATACATAGGAGAGTTGGTTGTAATAATAATTATATTTTTAAAGAATTCCAACAAACTTTTTTTTTATTTTTTAGAAGTACCAAAATCAAAAAATGTCCCTGAAACCCCGTTATTTCTCCAATTTGTTCAAAATTACTTTAGTTGTGGTAATTTTGAGTTATTTATATGTGGAAATAGAAATTAAGTGTTTTTTAAATATTTTTATTTATTTAAAAATTTTAGGTACTCAAAGTGTTGTTGTTAAAGGTGTTATGGAAGCTTTCAAACAAGCGACTAAACATATCCCAAAAGAAACTCGTATAAGATTTCCAGTCACTACAAAAAATGTGTAAGTTCTTATGAATCAAAAACATGTGCTTCCCATAAAAACCCCAATAAACGTTTAAATCCGGCTGTATTCTACTTTATAAAAAAACTAGACTACAATGATTCCTCTGAATTTAAACGAAATAGATATTACTATAATAAATTTAAAAATAATTTTTAGTGGGAACGAGCAGACGCCTGGTAATTATTTAAAGGAGAATTCACCAACTGAAGGTTGGGAACCGACACACCCAGAATCTGGAAAAATGGTAAAAATTGGAGAATAAAATTTGAATTTTAAAGAAAAAGAAGGAAAGTATTAGAGAAGAAAAGAGTAAAGAAAAACATTGGAAATTGACATTTTCAGATTATTTAAAACAATTTTTTAACAAATTATTCCTTCGTTAAATTGTCCCAAAAATTTAAACATTCCGTTAATTTATTCCCTCAAAACAAATTTTATATTAAAACAAACATTATCATTAACCATCAACATCGATAAAAAGTTAAAAACATTTTTCGTTTCAAGTAGAAAAACGTTTTATTTAAAACTTGTTTGGATTATTAAAACATTGAACAAAACAAGTTTGGTTTGTTCAAACAAGTTTAAAGGTGTTTAAAACTTTAAATGTTTAGAACTTGTTGCAATTATTAAAACTAAGTTTAAGTTGTTTTTAAAACATATCTGAACAAATGTTTTTAAAACTTGTCTGAACAAAACATCGGACAAATTAATAAAACACTAAACAAAACAAGTTTTAATTTTTTCAAAACTTTTCTGAACAAGTTGCAATGCAATAAATAAAAATGTTTGTCTCAACAGACTTTTCTTAAAAACAAACTTAAAAACATAAAACATTCAATAAACATTCATAAAACATTCAAAACATCGGACAAATTAATAAAAAATGTTTTTTATAAAATGTTATTAAAACAATGTTTTTTCTAATGTTTTGCTCTCTTATGATTTTTTATTTTTCCCTTCATTATTCTTTTATTATTTTTCTTCCCTTTTATATTTTTATTATTTCCTTTCTTTCTCTTAATTCCACGCAATTTTGTATTTTCTTCAAAATTCAGAAAATCTTCCTTTTTCTTTTCTTTTAATTCTTCTCTTTTTTTCTTCAAAGTTTTATAATTAATTGAGGGATTCCGTGCTGGTTTTCCTCCCAATTTTTGAATTAAACGTTGCTGTGCAGTTAATTTCTCGTCACGATCGGCAATGCTCGAAGCGACAAAACGTTCGATCTTTAAAAAATTTAAATATTATTTTTAATTAAAGGAAAATTCTTCCAAAAACCTCAAAAGTAACACGTTTTTGATTGATGTCCAAACTGTTATTTTTCTTCAAAATTCCTGTTGCCTTCTTTTCTTGAATTACTAAACCGTTCTCTTCTGCTCGTTTATTTCCAACTCCATCTTTCACAATTATTTCATCATCGCTTTCAATTCTAAAAATATATATTAAATTTTAAAATATTATTTTTTCAAATCCTTTCACTGACATAAGGAAGATGAGTATTAACTTCCCCACTGTTATCTTCCCTTGATGCTATCAAAAATCATCCTCCCAATATTTCCAGTTCAAATATCCCAAATTTCTAATTAATCCCCCCCCCTCCCATTTATACCTCAACGGCAAAAAGTCATCCGCAACATCTTTTGTTTGAAAATTAAATGATTGAGACATTTCTTCCTCTTCCTCCTCACCATCACTACTTTCTTCATAATCATCCCTCAATTCCTCTTTATAACTTTCTCCCATCTTTGTCACCTCTTCAATAAATTTTTTCATCAAAGTCTGAAAAGGTTGTGTTGGTCCAGCATTAAAAAATAATTCATCATCTGGTACACACCCCCAATCATCCTCTGGGCAGCTTGAATTCATTTTCTAAAAATTTGAAATTTCAAAAAAATTTTTAAAAAATAAAAGGTATTCAGAATTTTACTAATTTTTAAAAAAATATTTATTTTAAAATATTTTATATTTATAAAATTTTAAATACAAACGACGTGAAAATTAAGAAATTTAAAAATATAAAATGTTAGGGTCTTTGCTATACATAAAGTGAGAATTTAGAATAAAAATAATTGTAAAACAAAGAACCTAACCAATTAAAATAAAACAAAATTTAAAAATAAAAACATCACCAATAAGCTTTTTTTTAAATAATCCCAAAACTAGATAGTCATTAAAATGTGTTAAAGAAAAAGAAGTGGCCAAAACCTTTAGAAAATTTTTTAAGAAAATTTTTGTATTTTTTACTAGGGTTGGACATAACCGGTTATTAACTAGTACACCCGGTTTTCGGTTTTTTCGACAAATACCAATTTTATTTTGAGGGAATTTTTAATAAAATTACTCCTTTTCACAAACTTCCGGGTTTTAAAATTTTCTAAAAATGGTTAATTTTTGGTAAAAAATATCCAAAATTCGAGTCGTGTTTTAAAACCGGTCATGTCCACCCCCAATTTTTGCCATGACGATATGTAAAACGATTCTATTTATTTCTTCCAAACGTTTGGTCACTCCTAAGGAATTTTTATATTTACATAAGAGAATATAAATATATGGGATTCGTTTGAGAAAATAAAAATAAGTTGACTTTGTATATATTTTTAAATTAAACTCGAGGGACTCCATCAGAACAATTATTTGTCAAATCCTTTGGAGACGAATAAGTAACATAAAGTTGTGTTGCAAATATAACTCCATCATCCCGAGCCAATAGTAAAGGAAATTCAAGTAAAAAATCATTTTGACATCCTCCATTAAATTTTTGAGCAGAAGTGGAAGAGGGGGAAGAAAGAGAATCTTGAGTAGCTATTACAGGGGAAGATTGTTGTCTAACACCAATAACAAAATCAACGCCCTCTTCTTTATTTAAAGCCAATAATGATGGAAGGGCAAAACGTATTAATTCTTTATTGCTAAAAAATTAAAATTATACTAAAAATAAATGGTATTGCTAAAATTTTCCCAAATATGAGTCTTCTTGGATTTTATTTGAATAGAAAAAAGGGTTTTCCACACGTATTTAAGTCTATAAAATTTTTTAAACTTAAACGGTGGTTGCCGCAATGTGAAAAAAAGGACCAAAACAAGAAGTGATTTATGTCCTAACAATAAGAATGTCAGGAATCTTTTTTCTATTCTACAAACAAGGACGCGTATCTACAAAACACGACTGAATCGCTCTTTGATTAATAAGACCCTAAAGACATTCCAAGTTAAAAACTAGTTTTTGAGTTATTCCTAATAAATTAGAAAAGCCAATTCCCGATTTAAATACAAATTTAAACCTTGGAAAAATAATTTAAAAAATTTACACTAAAAATGTCTGCACAGGAGTAGAACCAATCCAAACTTGAAGATTAGGGTAGAAATTCTGTCCCAACAATTCAACATAAGCAATTGAAGGGACTGTATCACTTGCATGCATTTCGAGGAAGTTGACTATTGGAACAGGAGAAATCTTTGAAAAAATATTTTTTCAAAAAAATTTTTTAATTTAAAAAAACCTCTGTCGGTGTAGGACCTAATGCCTCATAAAATCTATAATGCATTGTGTCTGTTGATATAATAGTCCATTGAGCACCGTCTTTGAAAACTACACGACCGTCTTTTTCAATACTCAAAGCCTTAAAAAAGATATTTTTTCTTCATTTAAAAGAAATTTTCCTTACATCCTGTTGAAATATCTGATCATTTGTAAAGCACATAAACAATTTTTCGTTACTCAACATTTGAAAGGCACATTTGTGTAATTGACTAACTTGTTCATTTGCACTTTCTCTCTCACTTACCAAATCTTGTTTATCTACTTTACAGATTTTCTGAAAATTAAAAAAAAATCAAAAAAAAGAAGAAATTTTTAAAAAATTTTGGACAAAAAAAAGAAGAGGGAAAGATAAAAAATTAAATCAAAATCTCTTTAAACTCCCCCTAGCCTGATTAAAAAAATCTTTTAAATTAAATTAATACCATCATTGGGAGTGCAAGACCAGTCACACTATCCACTAATTTAACAATAGAACCATAATTAATAAATCCATCCTTCACTGCAAAATCATCAGAATAAGGGTCAAAATGTTCGTCTTCAGGTAAATCAACTTTTTAAAAAAATTAATTTAAACCAAATTTTAATTTCTAAAAAAACCATACTTAAATGAATTGTAAAAGAACCCCAAAATTTGGAATGTGCAACAAATTTCCCATCTTTTACAAATAAATAGCGAGTATTTGTTGTTTGAGAACGAACACGACTGAAGAGGGCAATCTTAAAAATAAAAACTGCAGTTTAAAATTAGTAAATTTTCTAGAACATCGTTAATTGGTAAATAAATCTTAAATCAGTCAACAAGGGAACATTCCGAACTGTGTAAAAATTTAGAAAAAATTTTTGCAACATCGAAAAATGAGGAGACTCGATCGCTCCAAAATTCAAAAACACTTTGAAGCCCTATAACTTTACGAAATGAGGGTCAGGGGGAAAAAGCCAAAAACTGGCAATAGGTTATAATAGACCCTGCTCTACACGATGATGCAAAAAAATTTGAAATTTTTACATCAAGTTTGGAATTAAGCACGTAGCCAGAGGGGGGAGGGGGAATTTTGGCGCCTTCGCGCAGAAAAAAAACTATAAAAATTGGATTTCAGATTCCGAACAGCCCCCCTAATCCAAAAACTATAATATTAATTCAATTCAATCCAAACCTCAGTTCCACTAGCAATATTAATTCCTTGGTTTTTAATATCCGATTGTTTTGAATTATTATGAGAGTTAGCAGAGAGTGTAATATTTTTCTTTTTTGAAGGTTTTGAAATAACTTTAATTCTTTTAGATTCAAATTTTCCAAGTAATTGACCAGATTTGTAAAAACAATGAACAGACAGAGTAAAATATTTTCGACGATTATTGTCATTCTCGCTGATATGTAATGCTTTTATGGCACACTAGAAAAGAGAAAATATGATTAAAAATGAAGAAATCTTTTAAATTATAAAAATTTTTGTCCGCAAATTTTTTGCGGACAAATTCAAATTTGCAAACTTTCTCAACCAAATTTCAAGAAAATTTGATCCTTAGAGTCCTAACTAATTTTTAAATTACAACCCTGCCGCAGGAATCCTTTTGCCATTCAAGTGCATGCCGATCTTGGTCCTTGGCACCAACAATTCCAATAAACGCCCTCGGCTCTTCATAGTCATAATCTGTGTTATTTGTTGAAGTTTCATCGTTAGACCATCCAAGATTGTTATTTAAACCAGTAATGTTGTGAGATACATCAGGGCCATTTTGAGCAATTAAACCGCGTACCTTCCATCCTTTACCGCGTAAATAGACCATTGGGGGAGGGCAAAAGAATCTAAATTAGGAAATTGATTAAGGGTAAGGGTAAATATTTTATAAATATTTTTATTGGGAGATAGTCAGTCCTTTCAGTTTTTGACAAAAAGAAAGGGAAAAACAATCTTTGATTTTCTATGTCGTGATAACTAAAAATCTTCAAAACACCAAATCCCCTTTACAAATAAATTAAACCTCTTCTCAGCTCCATACGATTTTTGTGCAACTTTAGCATGATAAATCATAACAACACAATCGAGGTTTTCTTTATTCCGTAAATATTCCCGAACAATTTCTGCCGTCAATTTTTCATCAGGCATAACATTTTGGGTTAAACGAAGAGTTTGTGGGAGAAGTTGGTGTTGATAATAATTTTGTTGTTGATTTTGATTATATAAATTAGAGCAAGTAGCCCCCTCAACAAAATTGACATTTTGAGCCATTAAATATTTCTTTAAAAATATAAATTAAAAAAAAGAAATTTATACAAAACCTGATCTTCATCCGTTCTCATAACTCGAAAAACACCTGAAAAAATGTGAAAAATTTTATTAAATTTATTTATAAAATAGTTTTAAGTGTCTAAAATTGGATAATTTGAATTTGGAGAAGTTAATGTTAAATAATGCTACGCTTACATAAAAAACGCGCGCGTCTTGCGGCAGAAAAGATAATGGGAAATGAGGAGAGTAAAAGACGCCGGCGTCTTGCCGCTTTTTTTGAGTGCTTACATAAACTGCGTCTTCCGCCGGCGTCAAGACGCCGGCGTCTTGACGCTTTTTTTGCGTGCTTACATAACTCGCGTCTTCCGCCGGCGTCTTGACGCCGGCGTCTTGCCGCTTTTTTTGAGTGCTTACATAAACTGCGTCTTCCGCCGGCGTCTTGACGCCGGCGTCTCTTTTTTTAATTCAAACATGTTTGAATTTTTTGCGGCAACTTTTAGCGTCTTGATCATTTCTCGGCCAATTCTAATCCGATTTTCAAAATTTAAAAAGATTTTGAAAATTCAATTCATTCTCTATCGATCAATATAAATTTTATATTTTTAAAGTTAAATCTTATGGGTTAAAATTGATTTTGAAAAACGTATACTTTTTGCAAAAAATATTCTTTTTTTTCGATATTTTTGAGATTTTCGAGATAAAAAAGTATTTATATCATAACTTTTTTATCAATCGGTCAAAAATTCTGATTTTTTGTTATGTTGTAGAGCTTTTGATTCTCTATCAAATAATACCAAAAACATGAAAAATTGACCATTTCTTAATGAGTAGGGCTCGTACCATATAGTTAAAGACAAAAAGTTTTGGGGAAAATCGAGGCTGATGGGAAAGTTCCAAAATATCTCTGGAACTAGTTCCAGTTCCAGAACTAGGTTTTTAATTTTTGTAGTTCCAGTTCAGGAACTCCATTTTTTAAATTCCTTAGTTCCAGTTCAGAACTTGTTCCAAGTTTGTTCTAGTTCCAAACTTTTAAATTTTTTTGAATATGAAGATTTAGCCTCATAAGAGGATTTAGTGACAGAGGATTTAGCCTCATAAGTTTGTTCAAAATCGCCAAATCTAACCGATCTTAGTACCAATCTACCCAGCTCGGATAGCTCTTTCGAATGATATATAATAAATTATATGTCAAGCAAAAAAGCTCAAAATGGTCAGGGAAACATAAAAAGGGGGGGCGACAACCGAAGAATTACCTCCCGAATGATCCCGATAATAACAAAAATCCGGGATCCCGGAAAATCCCGTCGGGATCCCGTCCCGCGCCGACCTCTAAGTAGAATATTTTACCACTGAAGTTGGATCGGTATCATGGCAGGATAAAATGATTTAATATTATTTGTTCAATTTAATTTCAATAAAATATTTGTTATAAATTTAGTCCGCAATTAGTGCTTACATAAAAAACGCAGCTTTTTGCGGAAGACGCTCGGCGTCAGGACGCCGGCGGAAGACGCTGTTTTGTGCTTACATAAAACTAGCGTTTTGACGCTTTGCGTCTTCCCGCTTAGCGGAAGACGCCGATTTTATGTAAGCACGAAACTGCGTCTTCCGCCGGCGTCTTGTCGCCGAGCGTCTTCCGCCGGCGTCTTGCGTTTTTTATGTAAGCGTAGCATAAGGGATAAACCTGAGAAAAATTGATATTTTCACTTCAAGACTCAAATTGTAAATAAAAAGGCCATTTTGTCGCGACCCATTTTGTCGTTTACATTTTGTCGCAGAATAAATTACCGTAATTTCCTTTTAATTACAGTGGAATAACTAACTATAAGACTCCTTCCTAGAAATATTTTCGCCTCCTTTTAAATTTTACTTTGTACTTTTTTGAAAGACTATAAATTTTTAGCTTGTATCGAGAAATCCCCCCCCCCATAAAACCCTGAAAATTTTATTTTATAAACAAACCCTGTTTAAAGGTTTCAGATCTTGTTATAGAACTTCCGAGGCTGGAAACCCCAGTTTAGGGCCGGCCATTATGGTTCGAATTCTTCTGCTTTGATCGTTTTTCTTAATACTTATTGTTATTTTCTACTCACATTTTGGTTTCAGGATTGTTTATTTTGCCTGCGGCTTTTATATTTTTAAATCTAAAATTCCTTTCGAGATTTGTAACTGTTAATTTTTAATATTTAATTAAATTAAATCAATTTTGGCAAAAAATATTTTAGTCTATTTTATTTCTAAATTTGAATATTAATTTTTATTTCTCATTTAAAACAGTTAATTAAACGTTTAAAATAAACAAATTTTTAAATAAATTAATGAAAAGATTAAATTTAGCTTGAAAAATTATCTTTTCGAAATCGAGCTATTTTTGATCATTCATTGTGAATAAAGAGAATTTTTGTCCGTAGATAAAAGATTAAATTAAATAAACAAATATATTTGAAAGCATATTTAAACAATTTAAATTTACCCCTATTCTCAAAGAAATATTTTAAATTTAAATTCCAAAATTCCAAAAAAATGTTTTCTAAATTAATTTATTTAATAATTTTTGCTTTATTGTTTTTGGTTGGAAATATTGTATGCCCTAAAGGAGTACCTGTTCAACCTAGCGGACCTGCAAAGGATCATCCATGTCATGATGATCCAACTGGAAAAGGATGTAAGGAGTTCTGTCGCAATAATATAAATGATCGACAATGTCGAGACTTTTGTAAAAATAATCCAAATGAAGCTGTGTGTAAGAAAAAAGGGAAATAATTAAAATATATTTTAATTGTGATTTTGGGGTTTATTTTTTAATAATGGGAAATTAACGAAAAAAATCTGGACATATTAATTGATATTAAATAATTATTCTTTTTCTCAATAAAATTAACAATTGTATAAAATTTAAATAAAATTGTTGTTTTTAATCAAAAAATCAAAAACATTTTTAGAAACAAAATTAAATTTTGGAATAAATGAGTGATTTTTGAGAATTTTATTTTTTAAAAATTTATTTATGTAAGAGATAGAAGCTTTCGAAATCTTGCAAAAGTTAAAGAAAATGTCACCTACCAATTCCTCCAGTTTTTCGACAGATTTCGTCCCAGCGCTGCGACGAACCGAGCAGTTAAATAATATTTTAACTTTATTTGTAAGATTAGAATTATGCAGGCCGTGTAACAAAATTGTGTTGTTATTTTAGCTATAGGTTTGATCATTCAGATAACATTTTAAATTTTAATAAAAAAGCAAATATAGGTAATTAAATGGGAGGTAATTAATCCAAACAGTTAATTGTTTTTAAAATTTTATTTGGGATCCTGAAGGATTATTATAAAAAATTCAAATTGTTAGGTAATCCTGGTCTATGTCGTAATATCGGACCTTCAAAGAGTATCATAAAGTCAAACCGTGGGAATCTTGTGGATAATAATTTTAAATATTTTTACTTTTTAGCCTTCATACACTTTAAAAGGTATGAATGAGGGCAAAAGTGTTAATTTATGGGAAAAACAAAATTATCAAGTATTTCCTCACATTTTGCTTTTACTTTTAAAAAGATTTTTAAAGCCAAAATTAAAAAATAAAACAAAAATTATGCCACGGCAATCATCAGAGAAAATATGTCGGGTTTGTGGTGATATAGCAACTGGAAATCATTATGGTAAAGTCAAATTTCATTATGAGTTAAGTTCAATTAGATATATATGTAGTTTGGAATACTGCATTAGCTTAAGAGTTTTATTAGTTTAACCATGAAGGGGCATTTTGGAGTTAGAGCCACCTGTAATACATTCTGAACACATTTAAAAATATTTTTAAAGGTGTTACAAGTTGTGATGGTTGTAGAGGCTTTTTTAAACGTTCAATTCGAAGAAATCTCAACTATAAATGCAAAGAATCTAATGCTTGTCCTGTCGATATAGCAAGACGTAATCAATGCCAAGCATGTCGTTTTCGACGTTGTTTGGCTGTTCAAATGAATAGAAATGGTCTTTATGATTTGTGTAATATAGCTAAAAAACATCTTATATCCAATCTAGCCAGTGTTTGGAATTTTGAAATTTGCTCGTACTCGTACTTGGCCTATTTTTTCGTCATAATTGTACTTCGTACACAGGTACGAGTACGAATTCTGGTAATACAAGTACGAGTACAAGCTTCCAAACGCTGATATTAACTATAAAATTATAATTAGGGTTTTCCGTTTCCACCCATTACATCCGTTTCCTGGTCCTTCATAAAATCTCCTTTATTGGAACTTTTCTGTCCTTCTTCACCCTCTTAATAATTTAAATCAAATTCAGAAATAAGAACATTTTATTAATTTTTTAAATTTAATAGCCGTCCAAAACGAACGTAATTTGCTTCCAAAACTCACCCCTCCATCCGATTCAATTAACAAAATAACTCATCCAATACCTTATCCAACAAAATTAACTCAACATCCACAACCAATTTTAATCAAAAAACCCTATTTATCATCAATAAAGGAACTTATTAAAATCCAAAAGTCAACTGGAAGAAAAGTTGTTGGAACAAATAATTTTCGAATAGAAAATCTACTAAAGAATAATACTCCATCTTCTATGTAAAAATTATAAAGAAATTTTCAAAAAAATTTTCTTTTTAATTTTCTAGATTAGAAAAACATTGTTTTAATTTATTACAAGTTTTGTCAGTTTCAATACGAAAATTTTGTGAAGCCTTTCAAATTCCAAAGAATATCATTAATGTTTTGCTAGATCAAGGATGGCATCGTTTATTACTGGCACATTTGTGTGCTCTCTTTCCTTTTGGTTAGAATTTTCATTTTTTATTCTGAAAATCTAATGAGAGAAATTTTCTCTGATTAATAGTATGATATGCATACATAGCAGGGACGGGGAATTTTCAATTTTAAAAAGCGGAATTCTACGCGGAATTCTGCGGAAGGCGGAAGCGGACTCATCCCTGATATATAACTTTAGTTTCCATTTATGTTTAAGTCTATCGGCATTTCAGCCTGACAGATAAATAATTCTACTCGTTCGTTCAGAACATAACCAGAGGATTTTCGGTTCGGTCCCAGATAACGAAATTGCTCGAAGGGCCTTAATTAAAATTGAAAAATTTGACTGTAAATTAAAACCAAAAAATTACAAAATAAATCTACATACAAATTTTCAGTCCCTCACCATTTAAAAAATACAAACGACCAGATTTATTCATTTATATTTCCATTTATTCAACTTCAATTAAATAGTTTTGAACAATGGTCGCTGGGTTGTACGGTGTTCTTTCATGGAAAAGGTGAATTTAATAACGACTTGGTTTGAGGGTCGTTGATCTCGACCTCTCAAAACACACTCTCTCTAATAGAGTTGGCCGGGATTGGGATTATCCCGGTCGGGATCGGGCGGAATTATCCCGGTTTTGTCCAATCTCGGTCCCGATGCCATGTCGGGATCGGACTCATTATTCCAAAATCCCGATCCCGACCAACTCTACTCTCTATCTTCAAACCCCTCTCTCTCTTTCTCTCTATTCTCACCCCTCTCTCTATTTCCACTTTTTAAAATTCCAAAAATTTCCACAGATGTTAAAAACAAAGCATTAAACTCATTACTAAACGAGATCGGAGAGAAAGCATCTCTCACACTTGTTCAACAAACAATTTTGTCTTCCTTTCAACAACACCAAAGAATATCCAAAATTTTAAGTTTATTAATTAAAATTATTTATATTAGTGAAGAAAATGTAAAAAATATTTTGTTGCCAAATTATTCAATTGAGGAAATTCACAATATTTGGAAATAATGAAAATTTTCTGATTTCATTGAAATATTTTAAATAAAGAATTTATGAAAAATATTTAAAGTTTTTGAAATACCGTATATTCTCTATTAAAATGCCATGGCATTCTATTTTTCAATCATCTTCCAAAGTGGCATTCTATTAGAGAAATTATATTTCTCGATGTTTAAATTTTGAAATTTACTACTCACGACTTCAATTGGTCGGTTAGATGAGATGAAAATCAATTAGTACTATTTGGTTTATTAGTTTTTTTCCCGCAAGCAGGACATCAAGAAGAATAGTTCAATATGTGTTAATTGGCCAATTAGTCATACTAATTATCAAAATAATTAGCCTGAAACCCCTACATCCTTTGGTTTTGT